TAGTGACCGAGGGTGGACATCGCCTTGGAGACGCACACTTCTCAATAGTAATCCAACACTTGCTTCCATTTGAAGGCTTTGTAGAACTCAAGACACCTTATACCACTCATTTCAACACGCTTGCTGTATCTCTGTCTGGGTCGAGCTCCGAAGAAATATTGTATAGGCGCGTGACGTTATGCAAAGAGCCTATCAAGAACCAACCTGAGCACAGTTAATTAAGAGCGGTGGCGACTGCACAAGATGCCTCTCCCTTGGCAGATTGGCAAAATTCCGAGTGGGCATTGGCTTAATGGTTATCTCGATTCTCAGCACTTGTCTCAGACGAAGGATTTAGGCAGTTGTGGATTTGCATCTGCATCTCTTAAATTCACAGATCGATCACCACTTTAAATACGCGTATTTGACCATCGGCGCGTGATTTTTTCTCAGAGTAGACTCCTTTGTTCTTCACATTTGTGCCTATAGACGAGCAATTCCTATGGTTGGAACGCACGCCTGTTCGTTGAAAAGCTGCTTACACAAGGATTAGCTGGAAAAGTAGGATTTTCATAAACAACATAACCCAAGCTTCTTATTTCCTGACTGCAAATCTGTCCATCGATAGGTGGCTTCATTGCATGTTTCGAAACACTTGAGCTGGACCACCTCAGTTTTTTGATTAAGCCAAATCCCCATTACCATTAACATTGCCATCTCTGTGAGTTAGTGATCAGAGCGACGCTTAATTTATGCTGCTTTGCTCAAGAGATGCCTCAGTGTTTGAGACCTGACCGACTGCCTAGCGTCAATGTCCATGAGTCGATACCATGTGCTCTGGAGTGTAGGCGAGATAAGGACGAGTTGTAAGAGGATGTGTTTCCAGCTTACGCGATAAAGGCCAGCGTGAACGATGGAGCAGATACTGCCGAGCCGACTGCTGATAGACCTACTATATCCTATCCAGGGAGTCGGACTCAGCATTCAAAGACGTTTCAGCAGAGCTCTTCTGAGTTTTAAGTGACCATCACCGGCTGCTGATTGGGTGGTTTAGCATTTAAAGCCAAGTCATTGTGAGCGATGCAGTGAGATCGTTTACACCTTGATTTAGAGCGAGCTTAGGTGACGTTAACTCAATCTCAGCAACTAGCTTTCAAAACCTCCAACGCATGTTGAGGCGCATGAAACATACGAGGTGGCACTATGGCAGAACGTTCGCTTGTAGGCTCACTATTGGTTGTTGTGTTAAGTGGGTGTGGCTTGACGCTTGCGAGCGGGGAGTAGATGCGTAGTAGCAGGGAATGCCATTCCATATACTTAATCGCATTTGTACAAATAAAACCAACATTTTAGCATACTTGTCCTTCTCTTTTTGCACACTTTTTGTATAGTACTGCTAATTAAATTGAATGTGTGACTTCTTTTATCAAGTACACAAGCTATTGATATCGACATAGGCGCCGATCAGGTAAACATGCAGTGACCTCATTGTTAAACATAGGACGCATAGTTACGGTCCTTTGGCAGGTCGCAGTAAAAGGTTTACTCTGTCGCAAGCTGTAGCAACCAATATCGTCCCACTTGCTAGAGAACCACCTGAAAGGCGTGCAAGTCACTTTCATTAGAATAAAATCACTAACATCGGTGAGAGTCAAGTGAATGCAATGGAAAAGCACTCTCTGGTGACATAGCGTATAGCAGTACAGTGGACATGGCAATTGTGCGGTCGTAGAGGCGTATCGAAGGAGCAGAATCAGCGGCAATCGACGCGTCCGTGGAGCTGTGGTCGCCTTCGCTGCGTGCCGGTGCGCCCATTGCCAGCCATGTTAGCTCTCACTCCACAGTCCGTGTTTCAATTACTACGTCTCGCCAACACACGGAGGTCCTACTGGACGACTTCACATTCCTCTTTCGCCTATTATTGTCACCCTGGTCCAGTTTTCATGATCGAGTTCATTTTCCACCCTTTTTAATTTACTTTTATTTGTGCCCTAATGCAGGCACTTGGTGACTTGCGTATGGTATTTGTTGTCAGCTCTTTAAGTACAGCTCCATGATGTTCCTTATTTCGCATTCTTTTGTGTTTACACTTCGGTCCTTGTTAGTCCTAGTTCCTGGTGCGCTTTAAAGTAAGTATCTTAATATACCTTGGGTCTTTTCTTGTCGAAAGGTTTGCTGCGAACGGTCAGAGTAAAAGTGGCTCTAAATTGAGCCATGAAGACAACCGATATTGTCTCATATCTTCTTGGATAAAGTGGGCTCTATCGCAGCATGATATAACTAGTCTTATGGCGTTCTAGGGGGTGTACTCGGTAGTCGGAAGACAGCGTTTAGCAATGGAGAAGGACAAATTACAGATTTGG